CCAGGAGTCTGCCACTGAAGATATTATTAACTACTACACTTATCTTGCCCCTGTTGTAAATGATTGATTATAAATTGTTGGTTTTCATATTTTAAAGAGTTAAAATCTTTTTGCTTTTAACTAATATTCATTAAAAAATAAGTACCTACCTTTTATTCATCCTACTAGACTGAGGATATAAAAAAATAAGAGGGCCTTTGACCACATAGAGCTAAAAAAGAGTTTACTAGTTTATGGTTATCAGTTTATTACATAATAGTTTTCTTGTCAATCTAATAGATTTTTAAATAATTTTTAATTGTGGTTAAAAATATATAACATGATAAAGAATTTAACATCCTATTTTTAAGTGTATAATTAAGTAGGGTTAGGTATATTCTCATATATGCAACAGATAGTCAGAAGTGGAATTGCTGAATCACATGACACATTCTTTTTGTAATTTTTCAAGAAACCCTCTTCATAGCAGCTGTCCTGTTTTACATTCCCAACAAAAGTCCAAAAGTATTCCAGTTTTTTCATGTCCACAATAGGTGTTTTCAGATGGTAGAAAGAAGTGGTAGTTGTCTTTGATGATAGCCATCCTAATGTCTGTGAGATAATTGTGGTTTTGATTTGCATATCCCTATAGATTAGTTGATGTTGAACATCTTTTCATGTTTATTGGCCATTTGTTTACCTGCATTGGAGAAATATCTATTCAAGTCCTAAGCCCATTTTTTATTTTATTTTTTTATTTGGTCGAATTAATAACACATGACAATAGAGTGCATTTTGACACATCTTATATAAATGGAGTATAACTTCTCATTCTAATGTTATACATGATGTGGAGGAGTTACACCAGTTCTGTGTAATCCATATATGCACATAGGGTAAAAATGTCCAATTGATTCTACTATCCTTCCTATCCACATATACCCTCTCCTCCTTTCACTCCCCTCTGTCTAATCCAAAGTACCTTTATTCTTCTCCACTACCATCCCACCCCACCTTATTGTGAATTAGCATCTGCATATCAGAGAAAACATTCAGCCTTTGATTTTGGGGGATTGGCTAATTTTGCTTAGCATTATGTTCTCCAGTTCCATCCATTTACTGGTAAATGTCATAATTTCATTCTCCTTTATGGCTAATATTCCACTGTGTATATATACCACATTTTCTTTATCCATTCATCTGTTGAAGAACACTGTGTTGGTTCCATAGTTTGGCTATTGTGAATTGAGCTGCTATAAACATTGATGTGGCTGTGTCATTATATGCTGATTTTAAGTCCTTTGGGTATAAACTGAGGAGTGGAATGACTGGGTTGAATGGTGGTTCCATTCCAAGTTTTCTGAGGAACCTCCATACTGCTTTCTGTAGTGGTTGCACCAGTTTGCAGCCCCACCAGCATGTGTGAGTGTACCTTTTTCCCCCACGTCCTCGCCAACTTTTATTGTTGCTTCTATTATTGATAATTGCCATTACTAAAGATGTTGAACATTTTTTAATATATTTGTTGATTGATTATATTTCTTCTGATACATCTTAGAGATTAATGCTCTATTAGAGGTACATGTGTAAAGGTTTTCTCTCATTCTGTAGGCTCTCTCTTCATTGTTTCCTTTGCTGTGAAGATGATTTTTAGTTTGATTTCATCCCATTATTGATTTTTGATTTTACTTCTTGTGCTTTAGGGGTCTTGTTAAGGAAGTCAGTTCCTAAGCTGATAAGATTTGGGCCTACTTTTTCTTCTGTTAGGCGCAGGGTCTCTGTTCTAGAGTCTTAAGTCTTTGTGCAGGGTGAGAGATGATTTCATTTTGCTACATTTGGATTTTCAGTTTTCCCAACACCATTTGTTTTGTTGATGAGGCTATCTTTTCTCCAGTGTATGTTTTTGGTGCCTTTGTCTAGTATGAGATAACTGTATTTGTGTAGGTTTATCTCTGCTTCCTGCCTGTTATGGCCTGAACAGTTTTCCTCTTCCATGCCCTATTCTATTCTGTACCATTGGTCTACCTGCCTGTTTTGGTGCCCACATGCCTTTTTTGTTACTATGGCCTAAGCCCATTTTTTAATCTAGTTATTTTGTTGTTGAGTTGTGGGAGTTTTTTATATATTATGGGTATTATTCCCGCATCACATACATGATTTGTAAATATTTTATTTCAGTTCATAGGTTGCCTTTTCATTGTTTTGTGTGCTTATAGGTACAGAATTTTTTAAGTTTGATGTAGTCCTATTTTTCTATTTTGATTGCTTATGCTTTCAGTGTCATATCTAAGAAATCACAGACAAGTCCAATTTCAGAAAGGTTTTCCCCTAGAAGTCTTACAGTTTTAGGTGTTAAGTTAAAGTCTTTGTTACATTTTGTTTTATTTTTGTGTAAGGTAGGGGAAGAATCTCATTCTTTTTACATGTTGATAACCAGTTTTCCCAACATCACTTATGGAAGAGATGTTATTTTTTTTAACATTTTTATTAGTGCATTATAGTTTTTATAGCTGTAACCAATATATCCAACAAGAACCTAAAAGAGGACACGTTTATTTTGGCACATGATTCACAGGTTCAGTCCATGGTCAGCTGACTCCATAACCGTGGGCTCAAGGTGAGACCGCTCCCCATAGCAGAAGGGCATGGCAGAGGAAAACTGTTCAGGCCATAACAGGCAGGAAGCAGAGAGAGAACTTGCTTACCCGGGACAAAATATAAATCCCAAAGGCATATCTCCAGTGACCCATTTCCTCCAGTTACACCCTACTTGCCTACATTACCGATTAGGCTACAGCTCTCATAATCTAATTGCTTTGCCTCTGAACATTCTTGCATTGTCTTACCCATGAGTTTTTGGGGGACACCTCATATCTAAACCATAACAGTTATATATAATAGCAGAGTTCATTTTGACATATTCATAAATGCTTTAACATGTTTTACTGCATTTCAGTCACCAGTACTTCCCTTTTCCCTCCTCTCCTTCCTCCCCTAATCCCCTTCCTCTACTTCATTGGTCTTCCTTCTGTTTTATTTTTAATTGGTGCATTATAGTTATATAAAAGTGGAAGGAATTATGATATATTCCTACATGCACATAGCATAATTTAGTCCACCTCTCCAGTTCCCCTCTTCCCTCTACCTTTGTCCCCCACCCCTGCTTTACTGATCTCCCTTATATTTTCAAGAGATCCTTTCTTTTATTACTTTTTTCTTTCTAGCTTTCCCATATGAGAGAAAACATTGGACCCTTGACTGGGTCTGGCTTACTTCACACAGCATGATGTTCTCCAGCTCCATACATTTTCCTGTAAATGACATTGTTTATTCTTTTTATGGCTGAGTAAAACTCCATTGTATGTATGTACCGCATTTTCTGTATCCATTCATCTGCTAGGCTTGTTCCATGGCTATTTTGAATTGTGCTTCTATAAGCATTGGTGTGCATGTATCACTGTAATATGTTGATTTTAGGTTTTTTGGATAGATAACCAAGGAGTAGGATACCTGCCTGATATGGTGATTTCATTTCTAGTCTTTTGAGGAATCTCCAAAGTGCTTTCAATAATTTTTTGCAGTCCCACCAACAATGTATAAGTGTACCTTCCCTCTGCATCCTCACCAGCAGTTGTTATTTGTATTCTTAATGATTACAATTCTAACTGGAGAGATGAAATCTCAGTAGTTTTGATTTGCATCTTCCTGATTGGTAAGGAGATTGACCATTTTTTCATATATTTGTTAACCATTTGTATTTTTTTTTTCTTTTGAGAAGTGCCTTTTTAGATATTTTGCCCATTTGTTTAGTATTCATTAGTTTGTCTGGTTAAGTTTCTTTTAGTTCTTTGTCCCCTATCAGGAGAGTACCTGGCAGATTATCTTTTATTCTGTAGGCTCTCTCTTCATGCTGTTCTTTCCTTTGCTGTGCAGAAGCTTTTAATTTAGTGCCATCCCACTTATTAATTCTTGGTTTTATTTCTGAAGCGTTAGGAGTTTCATTAATCAGCACTTACAAAATAAGTATGTTGGAGTTCTAGCATTTCCATTGTTTCTGGTGTACTCCCTAGGTCTTTCCTTGATAAGCTGAGTTGATTTTTGTATAGGGTGGGAGGGATCTAGTTTCATTCTTCTTCAGATCAGTTTTCCCAGCACCATTTGTTTAAAAGGCTATCTTTTCTCCAACATATGGCTTTGGCATCTTTGTCATGGACCATATGACTGTATGAGGATTTTAGATCAGTTTTTATACCAGTACCTCGCTGTTTTTATGACTGTAGCTCTATAGAATAATTTGAGATCAGGTATTGTGATTCATCCAGCTTTGCTGTTGTTGCACAGGATTACTTTGGCTATTCTAGGTGTTTAATTCTTCCATATGTATTTTAGAACTGTTGATTCCAGTGTCATTGTTGTTTGTTTGTTTGTTTTTTGTGGTGCTGGGAATTGAACACAGGGCCTTGTGCATGCGAGGCAAGCACTTTACCAACTGAACTATACCCAGCCTCATCATTGGTATTTTGATGGGAACCTAATGGAATCTGGAATCTGTAGATTGCTTTTGGTAATATGGCCATTTCGATGATATTAATTCTTATCCATGAACATTGTAGGTCTTTCCATCTTGAAGAGACTCTGTTAAGATTTTTTAAATGCTCTTAAATTATCAGTTTATAAGATTTTCTATTTAAAGAATTTTGCTTCAGTATATCTTAGTTATTACTGATATGGATACAATGTCAAGTTTTACAGGTATGATAGGCATTTTAATAAATACTAAGATGCAGCTTTTAAGTGATCATTTAACTTTTACTTATGGAGTTTTCATGTTTGTTTTTTAATCAGCCTTCCATATAGAATATAGAATATCAAAATTTGATATAAGGAAATTGCAAAGTCATTCTGTATCTTTCAGACACCTAATACACATTAAAATGTTTTGAACTGTTTTTCTAAAAAGCAGTCTAAAATAAATGATATGAAAATCATGTATAATTTTTCCTATTCTTTTTTCTTTGTAGGGAAGCAGCAAGAGAGTGTCGTAGAAAGAAGAAAGAATATGTGAAATGTTTAGAAAACAGAGTGGCAGTGCTTGAAAACCAAAACAAGACACTAATTGAGGAGCTAAAAGCACTTAAGGACCTTTACTGCCACAAATCAGATTAATTTGGGATTTAAATTTTCACCTGTTAAGGTGGAAAATGGACTGGATTGGCCACAACCAGAAAGACAAAAATAAACATTTTATTTTCTAAACATTTCTTTTTTTCTATGCGCAAAACTGCCTGAAAGCAACTACAGAATTTCATTCATTTGTGCTTTTGCATTAAACTGTGAATGTTCCAACATCTGCCTCCACTTCTCCCCTCAAGAAATTTGCAGCGCCAGGAATCATGAAGAGACTTCTGCTTTTCAACTCCCACCCTCCTCAAGAAGTAATAATTTGTTTACTTGTAAATTGATGGGGGAAATGAGGAAAATGAAATCTTTTTTTAAATGATTTCAATTTTAAATGATTTCAAGGTTTGTGCTGAGCTCCTTGATTGCCTTAGGGACAGAATTTCCCCAGCCTCTTGAGCTGAAGTAATGTGTGGGCCGCATGCATAAAGTAAGTAAGTTGCAATGAGGAAGTGTTGATTGCCAAATTGACATGTTTTCACATTTTCATTGTAAATTATGTAAAATTGTTAAAAGACACACCCTCTAAAAAAGAATTTTAGTATGGTGTTGAAGAAATTAGGAATGAATTCGGAGTACTTTCTCTGTATGTTCTTTTCTTCAGTACTGAAAAGTTGTCCTTGGTTCTTAAAAAACATTCTGTATTTAACGACAGCTCTTTCCTAGGGCAGTTGTTGCTTCTTAATCCAGTTCTCTGTGTGTTCAGCATTTTTGAATACATTAAAAGAAGTAAGCAACTGAACGAAAAAGCATGTCATTTGAATTTTAAATTAAATCAAAGTAAATAAAAGTACAAAGCTTATTTTAGTTAGTATTAAATCTTAGTAAAAAGATGCTGGCTAGTAAACCATTCCTTGAGTTATATAACAAGGTTTTTAAATAAAAGTTTTTGTCCTCGCCTTCAAAAATATTTATATTGTCACTCATTGACTTAAAAAGATATTTCTAATTTGCTGCTGCCCCTTGCACTTACATTGTACCACCAACAGAAAAGCCTTCAAGATGTTAAAGAAAACAAAGTGATGTATGTTTATGTGTTATAGAAAAATACTGATTTTTAAATCTTTTCCAGATTCACATACTTTTATCAGAGAACCTCTAGTGAATTTTTTTAAGTGAAGAAGTGATAAGGATATGGTTCTAAGAAGTACAGTGTTAGATGTGTACAAGGAAAGTAATTTTCCTCAGAATCTACAGTACTATAATATTTGGACTATCATTCTTACAAAACATTTGTTTTCTTCTTAAAAGGGTAGTTATGTTTTATGTTTCCAATATGCTGTATAGCCTTTGTCAGTTATAAAGGAGCTACCTATTTTAATTTCTGGCTATAACAGTCTGTATTTGTATGTATCATACGTTGTTTCCAGTAATATTTTTAATTACTTATTCACTAAGCTTGATAAATTTAAAAGTTACCCTTTAAAAGAAAAATATAAGAACAAGGTAGATTTTTTAAATTGGAGACTGATGTGATGTTAGATTATGATTTTTTTATTTGAGAAGGAAATTCCTTTTTAAAAAGTCAAGCAACTTAGAAAATTAGTTTCCTATTTAGTCATAGTTTATTTAAGAAAGTTAAATTTGTTTATCATGATAACATTGTGCAGATACTAGTATTAGTTTATTGGGTCCATTTTTTAAAAAAAGATTTTTAATATTTGTAAATGTTATATTTTTGTTTGTAACAAACCATTGTCTTTTTTCAAGGATGAACAGAGTTTGTGAAGGAGCATCATTCTAAGAATTGAGTGATGTAGTCTTTATATTTGGACAGTTCACCAGATTCTCAAGAAGGCTTTCAAACGGCTGTAAAGTTTGATGTTTGTCCTGCTGAGCTTATGGGGAAAATGATAGCATAAAAATTGTTTGTATACCAGCATAGATATCATTTTCTAACCTTGGTGTTAACAGAAACCAAGCAAAAATCACAAATATGTTCACAAACTAGAATTATTTCACATTTAGTCAGAATGTCAAATTGAACATATTGAATGTCTTTTATAAGTGAAAAATTGGTGTGTAGCAAGTTGTAATCTCTAAAATTGTCCATGTTTCCAAAAGTTGCGGCTTTCTACTTAACTAGGAAGTTGGTGGTCCTCTTGGTCCCTGATAAATTAAGGCAATCACATTCATATTAGCTGGGTGCATTTATAAGTTATAAAGACCTGTCCTCTCTACCTTGAGTATGATTGCACTGGTTTGAAGTCAGTTACTTAATAATGAGGTGAGAAATGTATTGTGTTGCTAAATCTGTTTTAGACTCTTGGAGAGACTTGAAGATTTCAGTTTATACAGACAGAAATCAAGCATCTTTTGTGCAGGCTTTTTTTTTTTTTAAATATGAGAATAAGGAAAAAAGTGTGTTTTTAAGCTTGTAACTTTGAGAATCTTTATTAAGAAAATGACATAATAAAAAAAAATCTTGTACCAAGAATATATATGGCCACATAACCAGTAATAAATGTTTTTCTCTTCATATTGGCCAAAAGGGAATGAAAATATCATAGGAATCTGTACATATGCTACTGATTTGCCTAGAAAATAGCAAGTTTGGTACCGCTCACTTTGCAAATATAGGGCCATGTGGCACTTTTATCTATAGGACAGATTAACTAATAAAAATGATTGGGGAGGGGTTTATTTTTGATATATTACTCATGAGTTTTCATGCTTTGATAGCATTTAACTGAAAAGTGGCTTAGAAAGGGCTAGATCCAATGTGCTCACATTATCATGAGATGCAGTTTTAAGTTCATTCTTTTTCAAACTCAAGTACCATATTGGCAACCATAATATTGTCATAGGTGCTCTGTTTGTTTAGATATTGGGGGGGGGTGAAGAAATGGCATTTGTATAATATATGTGTACATATATATATATATATACATACAGTATATAATCTAAAGCTCTGAGAGCTCTTAAGTCAGGAATGCTGAGTATTATAGTATATTGAGGTCAGATGAAATTTTACATTTTTGTGTGTCCTATTGCATCCCTTCTGATAGTTTCTATGACTGCATTACTCTGGCACTCAATGATTGATTTTATCTTCTAATTTTCTTCCAAGTATTTTATTTTTTTATTAGTTTTCTTTGGCTTGATATTTTTAAATATGCTACTAGTCACTTGAAAAGTACTCCCCTCTCCCCCCAATTTTTTTTTTTTTTTCTGCTTTGTCTCTGGCAGCTATTAACAGTGGTAAGAACACTTTGAAGATAGCTTTTAAAAGAAACCACTGATTTTCAAAAGTCATCCTGGGGGAGGAATTTTGTTGTTTTATTTGAGCAGGGATTTTGTCAGAAAATGTGTTTTGGCAGTAGGTCAGCAACAGTGCTAGTATCAGAAAGCACAATACCAATCAAGCAGGCTGTCTGATCAGAAGTCATCTGGCTAAAGTTTGTCTTGGGACTAATCCCTACTGTTTGACCATTTGTGACAGGTGGAATCATACAAAGGCTTAGGAAAAAACAAGGCTGTATAAACCAGAATGCTCTTACTTACTTGAAGTGACTTCAATCTAGATTTCTTCTAATGTTTAATAAAGTTTTTAATTCTGTGATCAACTGTAGTCAGCTAATTAACAAATTGGCCTCTGTTTATCAAAAGCTGCTTCATTTTGCAGGACTTACTCATGTAGTAGAAACAGTAATTACATACCTTTTCATTTCTTCCCAATTTTGTTGCTTTTGTAACCCAGAAAACTGTTGGTACATTATTTCCCATTGACCTAAAACAAAAGTTGTATATTTATTTGGATTATATTTACATTAATTCTTTGTAAATGTTTGGTGTAATTTGCACTTTTAAAAAAGACCCAGTTTGGGTATCAGCAACTTAAGAAATTTCCTCATCCATCATCAATTGACTTTTTAGTCTTTCTCTTCTCTCCAAATCATGTGATGTTCTTAAATGGAAGCTTTTCATTAATTAAAACATTTAGCACCTAAAAGCTAGCCTTAAAAATGTTGTGAAAGCAAAATATATGGAAATTCAGTTTGATTATCCCAGTTTAAAAAAAGGGATTCAAACATAAGTTTTTTCATCATGGATAAAGACTGAAGGGAAAGTAAAAGAACAATATTTGTTTCTAATTTTGAGTAACTTTATACTCACCCCAACATTAATATCATGTGTGGTTTGCCAAAATAATTCATTTTTCCAGAATAGTAAAATATTTTTAAAGCAATTAAGTATTATTATGGGAGACCACAATATAGTAATCATTTTTACTAAATTATTCTCATTTTAAATTGGCTTTGTTAACATTCAAATGCTACCTAAATTTGAATTTCAGATAAGAAGGGGGGAGTATGAAGTGTGCTTTAAGTAAGCCTTTAGGTGAAAAATTATGAAATGAATTTGTTCACTCAGTTGTACAAAGAACAACTAGAACTTTTTATTGGGTGGCTTACATACATCTTGAATATTTTAATATTAATAATATTGGGTTTTCAGTTGACTAGAGTCACTCTATGACAGGAACTGGTTTCCTTGACTTTCTAGAATCAATGGCTAGGAGAGGCATTAGTCCTTGAGGGGTTGAACATATCATTAAGTTGAGTCAGTATGGAAGAATTCATACAAATCAAACAGGGTGCTGCAGTTCCATCTGTCTCATCTGCTTATGATAAGTTCTTACTGATGAGTGAATGTAGCTTAAGCCTTTGTATGGGTCCTCACAGGGCAGACAAACTTAAGAGGGACCAGATAACATTTGAATAGAAGAATTATATTTCAGGTGTTTTAGCTTGAAATTTTATTTTTTAAAAAAAGAAAAATAAAAAAAAAAAATAGAAAAAAGCCTGTGAAGCAAGTTGATATTATAAGCAGGCAGAAATGTTTAGCACAGAGAGAAAATATTGACCTGTCTGCATCCTTGTACTATGGGGTGCAGATCCCAGCTGGATAAAACATGATACATTTTAAAATATTCTCACCAGCAGGTAAAAGGAAAAAGACCAGTCTACAGGAAATATCTTTAAAAAGGGTCAAAGAGTAGGCAATTCACATTTTGCCTACTTTTACAGGCATTAATTTTTAATTGTCTGTAGAAGCATGGCATTTCTAAGCTGTCTGAGGAGCATCTCAGAGCTGTGAGACTAAATCTGAGATAATTTAAAAATTGGTAGGGAAGGAAGAAAATCCCTGTAGATAATGATCTATGTTAATTAACCACACGAAATGATCTACCATTGTGTTGGGAGGTTTTATTTTCTTATGTTTTAAAAATTGAATTGGTAAATGCTTTATAGACATATTTTTATCCAGGTTGCCACTCCAATGTGTATGTAATAAAATTATTTATATTAAAAGTGGGAAATAATTTGTCAACATTTTTCTGTAAGTATAGATTTATTGGGGTGGCAAAGAAGAGTGCTAGTTAGCAATTTTCCATTGTGAAGTTGTCCTTGACCGATTTGTATGCATCCCTTGTAATCCTCCGTTCCCCATCCAGCAAAAGGAATTATTTCTAACCCAGATGCATCCCTTGAAACTTTTTAGAAACAGAATAACCAGGGAAGTTCCTAGAAAGGTGTTTGGAGTGTTTGGTGTTTTTTTTTTTTTTTCCTTGAGGATTAGTGTAAAGAATACCTCCCCCCCCCAAAAAAAAAAAAAACTATCAGCACAAAACAGGGTATCAATTTTTAGCTCTGATGTTTCTATTGGAGTTGAATACTAAGTAAATATAAGATTCCCTACATTCTAAAAACATCCCTGTTTTAATTTTTTATCTAAATCTTTTTGTGCTTTATGTGTAAAGAAAAAAATGTACTGAGTTACAATGCATTTTATTAACACTATGTACATAGTAGCTGCTTTGTGTTCAGAATGGTAGCAATTGCTTTGTATATTAAAGTGATTCTTGTGAATTTGTGAAATATTGTCATAAAGTGCTTTTTCTTACTGTAATCTTTGTGGTATCAACTGTCATAATGCCCTTTTTACACAAACATTTATGTGCAGACACATAAATATGCTTTTTAAAACACTGTAAGTCTCTTTTTTGGGGATGGGAAAATCTATCTTTTTATACTTGCTTGTCGATATTAAGTCATATTTTCTTGGACTTGTGTTTATTTTGTTAAGCAAGCAGAAGTTACATTAGAGTATTATCACAAGCTTGTGCTGCACAGCAGTTAGAATTACATCTTCAGTTACTTAATTTTACTTCACTCCTAGTTAGCACAAGACTTTTTGAGTAAGCTAGAACAGTACCTATTTGAGGATTTGGAGATGTTATTGTTCTCCTGAGATACTAAGGAAAACATGGCCAACTCTCTCCAATGTCATAAAATGCATGTTTGCATGGAAAGAAAAGCGAGAACGTCTGTGATCCCATAAAATGGAAGAGAAAGGAAGGAAATGTGGTTATTCTTTGCTTGAGGCCTAAGAACAAAAGATTCTTTCCCATACTATATCTGAAATAAGGTCTGGGATTTCTCAAAGTAAGTAGTTAGTTAATTTATTCCTGTGTATGGTATTCCTTAATTGCCAAGATATGTTTTAATCCTGGTATACCTGCCACTATATTGAAAGAATTACATTTCATTTTTCCTCTTCTACATAGAGTGACCACATAATTTATTGTACAGAGGAGATGTTTTTGAGCATGAACAAGTGATATTAAACAACAGGCATAAATCAGATTGTAGCTGAGAATGTCAGATCCTGTGGTCACCTGTAAGCTGTGTTCAGATGCTTAGACCACCAGTAAAATCAAAATACGAATCTTCTCTTCATATCTTTGTTGTTACTTGACAAATATTGAGAACACACTTCTGAACAGTGAAGTAACAAAGAAGAAAAGTCCCTTTCTTCCAAAACATCCAAGAATACAATTGTGATAACACAGGGATGACTCTTTCCTCTCCCCTGAATTCTAGACTCAAGATTGTCATTTCCACTCAGATTGCAAAACATGGATCCCCAAAAAAACTAATTTCACCTCCCAATCTTCCTTTAGCTGGCATGTTCTATTTCATAAATGGTGCTATAGTCCACTAAATTGCCTAAGGCAGACCCAGAAAAGTACTGCCTTATAGAAGTGCCACCCTTAATTTCTCTACATTTTATACATACTAACCAAACCAGCTGAGAATTCTAACATCTAGTGAAAGAAGGGTAATTTTCAGGAGTTTAAAGGCTCTTTTTGCTTGGTTTTAATTGTATAATTCATGTAACAAAATAAACCACTCTAAAGTGAACAATTAAGTAGTATTTAGTGCATTCACAATGTTGTTCTACTGCCACCTCTATCCAGTTTCCAAATAGTCTCATCATGCCAAAATAAAACCCTGCACATTAAGTAAGTTTTCTTCCCATTTCCTTCTCCCTCTTGCCCCGGGCAACCGCCAGTCTGCTTTCTGTTTCTATAGATTGGCCAGTTCTGGATACTTCAAATAAATGGAATCACACAACATGTTTGACTTGCGTTTGGTTTCTTCATTGAACACATTCCTTGAGGATTATCCACATTAGACACGTATCAGTACTTAATTCCTTTCTATAGCAGGATAAGTTTCAATTAAGTATGTATACTCAGTTACCCATTCACTCTGTTGATGAACATGTGGGTTCTTTCTACCATTAGTTATTGTGAATAGTGCTATTATGAATGTCTGTGTCCCTGTTTTTCAATTCTTGGGTGCATATACCATGGAGTAGAATTACTGGGTCGTGTGCTAGTTCTCTTGAACTTCCTGAGGAACCACCAAACGTTTCCTCAGCAGCTGCACCATTTTACATTCCACCATGGACATATGAGGGTTCCCATTTTGACACATCCTCACCAACACTTATTTTACTCTTTTTGAATTATGACCACTCTTATGTGAATGGACTCGTGTTTTTTATTTGCATTTCCCTAATGACTAGTGATCTCAAGCATGTTTTTGTTTAATTGTTTACATATCTTTGGGAAAATGCCTATTCAAGTCCTTTGCTTGTTTTTTAACTGAGTTATTATTCGAATTTCTTATATATTCTGTATATTAGACCCTTATAATATTTTCTCCAATTCTGCAAAATTGATAATATCCTTTCTTGATAATAACAAAGGATATTGGTTTTTATCATTTTTTAACAACTTTTTTAAAGTAATACTTACACTTGTAAAACACTTAACTGTGTATGCCTGATGCAGTGGTATCCACCTGTAATCCCAGCAATTCGGAAAGCTGAGGCAGGAGCATAGGCAATTTAGGTCTCAAAGAATCAAAAATGGTGGGGAACGTACATAAGTTTGTAGAATACCTCTGCGTTCAGTCCCCAGTACTGGGGAAAAAAAAACACCATAGTGTAGCCATGTACTGTGGTTGGCACAGGCCTATAATCCCAGCTACCAGGCTACTTGGGAGGCTGAAGCAGGAGGATCACAAGTTCACATTCAGCCTGGGTAATGTAGTGAGACCCTGTCTCAAAAGTTGGGGCGGTGCCAGGGTTGTAGCTGTGTGGTAGAGTGCTTGCATAGCATGTAGCAAGCCCTGGGTTCAATCCCCAGTATCATAAAAAGGAAAAATTAAGATATAAATTCATGTGATTTTGCCAATAGAGCAGGGAGAGGACATAGAGAAGTACTGGGGAATGAAAGCGAACAAAATCTGCTATGTACATGTATGAATATGCCACAATGAATCCTGCTTTTATATATTTGTATATAATGTAAATGCACTAATTGAAATAATAAAAGATAAGCAGAGCAAGTGGATGAGGGAGGGAAAGTAATGGTACTGGGAAATAGATCAAATTATATGCATGTATTAATATGGTATAACAAATCCCCCTATTATAATTATATTGCACTGATATATATTTGTGTGTGTGTGTGTGTGTGTGTGTGTGGTGCTGGGGATTGTGCAGGGCCTTGTGCATGCAAGGCAAGCACTCTACCAACTGAGCTGTATCCCCAGCCCTGCACCAATAATTTTTTAATTCACATAAAAATTCATGTAATTTTGTTATTAAGTGTATGCTTTGTCTCACAATAGCTAAACTATAGAACCATCCTAGGTGTCCTTCAACAGATGAATAGATAAAGAAAATGTGGTATTATACACAATGGAATTTAGCCTTAAAGAAGAATAAAATTATGGCATTTGCAAGTAAATCAATGGAGCTGGAGAACATCGTGCTAAGCAAAATAAGCCAATTCCAAAAATCAAAGGCTGAATGTTTTCTCATCATGATATGCAGATACTAATTCACAATAAGTGGGGAGGGGGGAGCTAGGGAAGAATAGAGGTACTTCGGATAGAAGGTAGAAGGGAGTGAAGGGGAGGGGTATGGGGGTATGGAGGATAGTAGAATGAATCTGGGCATTATCACCCTATATACATATATGACTATACAACCGGTATAATTCCACCTCTTGTACAACTAGAAGAATAAGAAATTACACTCCATTTATATATCAAAATGCATTCTACTGTCATGTATAACTAATTAAAATTTTTTTAAAAGCATATGCTTTGTTATTTTAATATTCCCAAGAATCCACTTCTCTTCCCTTGGGCAAGGAGAAATAAAGCACAGAGATTGGGTAATTTATTAAGGTAACTGAAGGAATCTATTTTCCATGCGTGTTTATGGGGTTCCCTTTATGAACAGGGCACTATGTTAACACTTAAAATACAAAGTACACAGTATCATCATCTTGGTCTTCTGGGACCATAAATTGTATTTGCTAAGATAAAACATTCCAGAAACATTATTTTGCCCTAAAAAAAAAAAAAATCTAGTGTTCAGTTTAGAGAAAGTAAGTATTTTGATGGGCTAGAATTTTGATCCTTTTGTGTGAAAAAACTTCCTGCAAATGGTATAGCAAGGCTCTGGCTAGCTCTGTTATAACTAAATCAAGCTATCCTTAAGAGGGAATCTGCTTAGAAAAACAACAGCATTCATTCCAGTGGAGTGCTAAGAATCTGGTGCCATAAATATGTTTTAACATAGCATCTGGGCAGCAGTATATGTCATTAATTGGGGGGGGAAATTACTGATACACACTGGATTACCTAACAGCACAATTGTTTAAAGAAATTAAGCAATGCAAGAGTCAAAGTTTATTAATAAAATAGGTTTGGACTAGGTTTCTATCTTTAACTTAAGGACAAAAACAAGCACACTTATAGTGTACATTTATCAGATAAATGAATACTTTTAACACAATAAAAGGTATGTCATAATTTCATTTGTGGGACACTGTAGTATGCTACTCATTCATTTTCCCTCCTTCCATTCCTACATACACCTCTAAAGGACTCATTTCCCTGGCTTTTTGGGATGTTGGTGACTGACGGCTCAACTTTGTCCCTCTAGTGGTACTGTCTTTAGCCCAGGGTTGTACCCCTTCCATTCAAACTAATCCACACTAGGGCATGAAGGCCCATCACCTTGCCTCAATATGGTCTAACTGCAGGGCTATTGCAGCTCTGAAGAAGGAGCTGAGGACTTTCCTGACTGCATCACAGCCCAAATGCTCCCTCTATCCCAATCATGGCTTCTTTCTCTCAGAATGTTGATCTTGGGAGCCTTCATATTTAAACTTTCTACAGCCTAATCTCCATCTCTCAGTCTGTTTCCCCAAGGAACCTGTCCTACAATGACATTTCAAACCCAAAGCCAAGAAAAGTCACTTGATTTTCACTCAATCAAACTATTCCTGCTGACTTTTTTTTCCTTCCATGTTCTCTTTGTAGAGCATGATAGGGGATTTTTCAACCTTTTCTGATTCTCATGTTAATATTTTATGAAAATGTAATATATAATTCAATAACATCTTACCTCACTTTCTCACTTAGGACAGCATCCAGGTACCTTCCTGATACAGCAATAATAGTCCAGGGAATGTATGGACTTCCTGAAGCTCCTTACCCCTACCACTTTAATACCTACCTCCAATGCCAAAGAGCTTAAAGGAACTGAACTGCAATATATTAATTTCTAATATCAAACCTAAATGAGATTGGGTTTTCATTATAGTGTTGGTGATATTGCCAGGCTTTAAATTTGTTTAATGACAGCGTCCATGTTCATGGTATGTTAGCATCTTATAGACTCAGTGAGCTAGGACATTTTCATTCATGTGTATTTGTCAGAATTGTGTAGAACTGGTATATCACAGAATACCCACAACTTTGAATTCACTTTTATTAAAGCAAAAATCTTTATTTTAAATATATGTAGATACTAATATATTCTTGGGTATTTTTCATATCCAAATATTCTTCAAAAGGTTAAAAAGGAGGTCTGATTGATAATATTTTGTAAAATGAATTTACCTCTGGTGCCAAATACCATATTGAGATTATAATAGTCTTGTGGTCTAAATTTGTTTAAGCCAAAAGTTCATGTATGGTGACTTCATCCACAAAGTCTATCAAAGATAATCATAAAACAAATGTAGCAAACACATAATCCAAAGATCAATACTCTTAATACTAGATACTGAGGAAGCAACAATGAAAGAAGCAGAAATATTTCTGACCCTCCAGAAGCTATCACCTTTTGGGGAATACTGACATTGAATGAGCAATTGCAAGTACAGGACAGAAGCTACCTTCTTGTGGAGGGATGAGATTTAAAACTTTTTTTTCTTTTAAACTTTCATCCTATGCATTGTAAGAGCACAAGGAAAAGGGAAAGCTTAGGAAATAAATAAACAAAAGCACGAGAAATGGCAAAGCTGAAGGGGAACCACAGCTTTCAATTTGGAGAACACAACTTCTCCAAATCTTTCAAGACTTCAGGTACTTCCAAAAAATAAATAAGATTTTATTTTTACTTATTCCTTTGTTTACATACCTAAGCCTGAAACTAAACTAAAAAGCAAGATATGAGACCACACAGAAAACTCACAACTTAATTCAGCCAAAAAAGTGCTTAGAATCTAAATGGACAAGATTTCAACAGCAACAATAGTCCAGGGAATGTATGTTAAACCTCAAAAAATTATGAAACTGGAATAAACATTATGTATCTCCGAATATGTTTAAAATAAGCTACATGATTTAACCTTGCCAAAAACAACTCAGCTGGTTTAAAGTCACCTTTATACCAGCCCTTCACCAAGAGGGATCAATGCAGGAGACAGAAACAGCATAAATGACAATCTCACACTTTCCTTTAATGTTGATGGAATTTCAGAGTAAGATAGGACTAAAATCACAGCAATAGAACAAAGCACTGCTTATGTGCTTTGTCCCTTGACAACCTTTGGTTAGAGAGATGTGTACAACAACCGTTTCATTTAAGTATGGTTAGATTCCCAGTCTAAGACCTTAACTGACACACTCAATGACAATATTCTTATAAGCGTAGCCAACTATAAGTCATCCTTTGGGTTTCTTTTCTGTGCTTTGTAAATATGTACATCTTTTTCAGGATCATAGTGAGCCTTACTCACAGTAAATCGCTTCTCCAGCATCGCTAAGAAGTTGTTATCTCGTTCATAGCGAATTCGACAAGCTAAAAGTATCACTGAGTGGTTGCTAGAGAGATGTTCCAGTGTTTGAAGAAGATCTGTGAATGTCTCTTCTAAATATATGATGTCAGCTCCAAGTATCAGGTCAAATTCTCCAGGTGAAAAATTCCCCAAATTGTGTCCCCAAGTCAGCTCCTTAACAACAGCTTTGGGTTGGATATGGGGAGGTAAGTTGGCTTGAACATTGGATTTAAGAAATTCTAGTGCTACTTTTCGATCGGTGATAGTCACGTGAGCACCTATAATATGAGATAAAGAGAAAGCAAGGTGTATATCAGTACAACTGTAGGAAGGAGAGAAAGGGTCAAGTTAAAACATAGAACACTATAAATATTCCACCTGACATGCAGAATACCACACCCTTTGTGGAGAGTTGCAATGGATCAAAACAGCAACTGGTTGCTCCTTTTGCACTGCCGACTGGTAAAAGTAATCCTTTGACTTGCCCCTATGACACGACTGCTATTGCTGAAGTTATGCCTATAAATTACAGAGTCACCAAGTGAAAAGAAAGCTGATGTTTTTGAATGCTGCAAACACAGCTAGCTCACCCTTCATAGGTTTCTTCTGCTTCATGAACTCAGGATAGCAGACCTCATGGTAAAATGTAATTCAAAAATGAAAAGTCTGGGAGTAGAATATTATTACAAAGATGACGAGATCCCCAAAATGGGGAAAGGCTGTTTTGTGAGGTTAAACTTTTTAAAACAACACAGAAGTGATACTGAGAAATCCCAGTCCATCTTTCTTAATGTTGTTTGAAGCAGCCAACCCGTTATGTGTTTACATAATCATCTTCAATTATTGAAAATTCTTAAATTTAAGAATTATTGTAGGGCTGGGGATGTGACTCAAGCAGTAGCGCGCTCGCCTGACATGCGTGCGGCCCAGGTTCGATCCTCAGCACCACATACAAACAAAGATGTTGTGTCCGCCGAAAACTAAAAAATAAATAAATATTAAAAATTCTCTCTCTTTAAAAAAAAAAAAAAGAATTACTGTATAGTAGTGAAGCAATCTAAGATCTAAGTTAAAATGCCAGCTTGTGTTAACTGCTAAGTTACTAGATATGGTGTAGAAAATTAAGGTGCAGTATTTTATTAATGTTCTTTTTTGTGTGTGTGTGGGGGGGTGTATTGACAATGAACTCTAAGATCTAAATTTTTTAGTCAATGAAAGAGAAAACCTGAACTGTAGTTACCCTTGAAGTGAAACAACAACAGCCCTAATACAACGCCATCTACAGAAATGAAAATCCTGTTTAGTTTTGGCCCCTGCAATTCTGAAATTTAAAAATGTTTCATTCTTTCATGAAAGTATTTCTAATTTGCACCTTTTTCTGTTTAAGAGTTCAGTTTAGGATTCCAGACCAGCAATGGTCAGTACCACTCCAGTAGTGGCTTTTACCCAGGATTTATTATCTTGACACATAACATTTGACATTTGTAGTCCTAGAGCATGATACAATGAAAATTTTCATGCTATTAGATTTCACCAGCCTAGAACTACTACACTTGGCTAGAGAGTGAGCTACCTGAGGAGCAGGATTCAATGATAGTTTTCTTTTCTTCCAATAATGCAACTGTAGACAGACTCCTCCTGGTTTGACTTAGGATTTTCTCTCTGGATTTCTTTTTCTTTCATTCTCTCACTATGTTGTCAAAGCTGGCCTCAAGCCATCCTCCTGTCTCAGCCTGGAAGGAGCTAGGACCATAGGCATGTGTCACCATGCCCAACTCTCTTGGCAATACTAGAATGATCTAGTCTTTTCAACATCACTTCTGTATCCATTTTAACAGCTCCTCTAATGCCTATCTTGAGGGTTTTGGAGGCTACTTCTGCCCAACTAGGTATTCCAGAAGTTTGAATAGGATCTGAATGTCAGTTGACTATTTCCCATAACATCCTGAGAGAGCTCTACAAATAGCTAAGTACTACCATCAGCTAGATAACAAAAATCCTACCCGCACAGAGTTTATGTTCAAGTGAGGAGATAAGCACTATGGTTATTTTAAGGTATAATATCTGTTTGTTGTTGAAATAAGATAAGGAAAAAACAAAGCCAGAAGAGACATGAAATGTCAGGAAGTAAGGGAGGCAGGTGTGGAATTCTAGATTGGGTAGAGGGAATGCCTCACTGAGGTGACCTGGGAAGACCTGAAGATGTGTGGGGATAATCAAGTGCATATCAGGGGGAAGAACATTTCTGGCAGGCGGAAGAACGAGTGCAAACACTCAAGAGTGTGCAGGCAAGCAAGGAGGTCAGTATGGCTGGAACAAAGTAATAAGGGACAAAGTCAGAGGAGATGAGGTCAGAGAAGTCATGGGGAAGGTGGACAACCATGTATGGCCTCATTAGCCATGTTTCAAAAAGACTTCAGTTTTCTCAGCCCAGAGCAGTAGCACAGGCCTGTAACCCCAGCGGCTCGGGAGGCTGAGGCAGGAGGATCCCAAGTTCAAAGCCAGCCTCAGCTGAAGCGAGGCACTAAGCTACTCAGTGAGACTCTGTCTCTAAATAAAATACAAAATAGGGCTGGGGATGTGGCTCAGTGGTTGAGTGCCCGAGTCCAATCCCAGGTATCCCCCCCAAAAAAAAACTTTTTAAAAAAGAGTTTCATTTTCACTGAGTGAGACAAAAAGCCACTGGAAAGTGCTGAACAGAGGTACAAATGGTGTGTCTTGGGTTTAGCAGAATGTCTGGCAGTAGCAAGGCCAGTAGCAAGAAAACCAGTGAAGACCCCCTCAGTGGTCTAAGTAAAGGATGCCAGTAGCTTGCACATTGCTGAAACCACACTCAAGCACCGGTCTGGCCAGCTCCCAAATGCAGCCCACCCTTCAGTGCCACACCAGCTTTCCTCAGAATCTGTCTTTTACTGTTGACTCAGGTTTTATCACCCAAGTGTCTTTCCCTACATGTTACAACTTTGTCCATGGTTTTTTTCTTTTCTGCCTGGTTGGGGAGGGAGGTGTGGAGGACATCTTGAGTCTATCTTCTGAATATCAGCTTCCTTTTCATCCTTTTTTCCCTTGCAGTTTAAGGAAGAAACAGATCATTTGTCCTGTAGTTTCCTGTAGTCTGAATTTTGCGGACAGCATCATTTATTGGACTCTGTCCTCTGCATCTCCTATAAATTTGGGTTTTTTTTTTGTTGTTGTTGTTGTCGTCTTTTTTTAATGGGACTATTTCAGAGATAGCAGTGTGTTTTTTATCAAGAGGTATGCTGTGTCTGGTAGACTCCGTTTTTATGACATGAGAAGCCACTGGTGCTTAGTGCCCAAATCCTCAGTTCATTATTATTCTTTTTGCATTTGTTAAGAACATTCTATAAAGAGAAATGGCTACTCATTTTGTATATCAACTGTCTGAATAGGACAGGCAGGATACATTTTCCTTCTCCATCCCCTTTTATAAACCCTATTTTGAAATAAAAAGCTGGTTTCTCAGCATTCTCCAAAGATACCTAGGTTCATTTTGTTGCTGTAAACTCATGAATTAAACATATTTGACATACTTTAATCTACTGAAATTATTATTATTGATGTTCAAATGGAGCCATTTTTTGCTAGTGGCCTCTGATCTGACACAACCCTGGTCATCTTTGAAAGCTTCCTTGCTATCTGGTATGGCAAGATATTCCAGGGTCATTTAATGCTTTCCCTGCCACAGACCTACAACCAAGCACTTAGGTTTGTATTTCTTGTTTTGAAAAGATGGGAGAAGTAACAGCAAGTTTATATGCTGATGGAAATTATTGGGTAGAAGGGCAGAAAAGCAGCAATGCAGGGACAATGTCACTGAGTAGGTGAGAGTGGGCAGGATCTGAGGCACAGAGAGGTCACTGGCCCTAAAAAGGACATTCAACTACAACCTCAGGAAGAAAGGCAGAGATGGTGGTCCACCAGACACTGGTGTGGTTAGAGGCAGTGGGGCAGGGGTGGGGGTGGGTGGAAATTCTCCTCAGATGGCTTCAGTCTCCCCTGTGAAAGCAGAAATGTCATTGGCTAAGGGTGAGAATAGAGAAAGAAAGACTGGAGGCTTAAGAGCAAAATCATGAAAGAGTCAGTTAGCAGAGCAAGACAGGAAGCAGAGTATGAATGTCCAGGAGTCAAGGCCCCCCTTGATGTAACAACGAGTCCCACCATTAATGCATAATTATAATTCACCAATAAAAAAGGCATGGAAAACAGAACCCCTCTGAGGATTCTGATCTGAATTTAAAGTGAAAGCCAGCAGAGCACTGCTCCTGCCAGCCATACGCACATGCACGTACCAGGGCTGGAACAGGGAAAGCATCTGACCTGGGTTTCTTTAGCCTGGAGAGTAAGATGAAGCAAGGAACTGGTATCAGTGATAAGTGAAGATGGGGGCAACATGACTGCTCAAGAGATTTACACTGGGCAAGAAGGGGAAATGAACTCCATAAGACAACACAGCAGGCTGTCATTCACTTAGAAATAAAAAAAAAAAAAAAACAGACATCATTAATCCTAGTTTTGTAAGCAACATTTATTCAAACATTCAAGCACATACTATGTGCCAAAAAGATGAGCAAGAAAATACTAGAGCTCAGAGCCGCATGAGGGATATAAGTAAATAAAAGTGTGAGAAGGAAAATAAAGGAATATGGGTGCACACAGGAAATCACGTGTCACAACGGAGAAATTCTTCAAAAGGAGCAGAGACCAAAGGAATATTCCTGAAGGAAGGGAAACCTGCACTTACACTTAAGATACAGCACGAACCAGGGAAAGGAGTGAAGAAAGCATATTCGGGGCAAAAGGCACAGGCCAGAGCAGTGTGTGTGTCCCAGGAATGTCTCAAAGCATGAGAGAGACCGACAAGATTGCAAAGCTTTGCTGGGAGGCCTGGCATCTGGCCTGCAGACCGGCCATGGGAAGGCAAAGAAACATTTAAACACAGGCCACCCCATCAATTTCACCTTTCAGATGGAACACTCTGACAGATGTTGTGAGAGTGGGTCTGAGGAGACCCACCGCAGAGGCAGAAAGGCCAGGTGGGAGGGCTGAGTGATCATGTGGGAGACAGATAACGAGAGCTCAAGCCAGGCACGGGGAGTGAAAAGCAGGGTGATTGGAGGAAGAGTTAAAAGACAGAATCTGCAAGTTCAAGAGAACCAGGTGAGGGACAGTGATGCCAACTCACAACAGAGGAGAAAGAATATATTTGGGAAGGGGAGAAGCATCAGGAGTTAGCATGTGGTGCTGGAAATTAGTCAAGTAGAGAGATCCAGCTTTAAGTTACTTATGCAAGTAACTTAAATCAGAAAACTAGAATCAGAAAAATAAAGGCAAATTCTTCCTAAGTGTTGTATTTTAAGACAGTGGCTCCTAAGCCTAGTCAGGCTTCAAATCACCTAGAAGCTTCTAAAATCCAGATTCCCTGACCCCAACCTAACTCATCTGAGATATTCTTCTATAAGTAGTTTCCAAGTAGCATAACAGTTGGGAAAACTTTTAAACTAAACCAGGATTTGAGAGTCAGAACCAGATTCTAATTCTAACCACAATCTATTAACAGTGACCTTGGGCAAGTTACCTACTCTCTGTTAATAACCCTTCATTTTCACACTTGAACATTACTATAAGTGGGTCAGGCCTATTTACCATGCAGGCTGACAGTGAGAATGAGACTGCAGACACACAGCTCCCTCTCAGAACACAGAAAGTGCTCAGTGATCAGCAGCCCTATATTAACATTCTGTAGAACACTTACCTCTTTGGGGGGCTTTTTAATGTCAATTTGTCTCTATCTCCCTTTACCCACTCACCCATGGACTCAGAACATAAGCTTCCCAAGACTTTATTTCTACCTGCCTGGCCCCTGCTCGATCCACACTGATTCCACCAGGCACTTGGTAGGTGCTCTCTGAATTCAGAAATAAATGACGAAGATTACAAAAAATGAAAACACCCCTCCACCACCACTTTTTTTTTTTTTCACTATGCAGACCCTGGATCAGCTAATGTGAAAATATTTTTCAAAGGGGAACAATCAATTCCTTTGAGATGTTTCAAAATTACCATCCTTTTTTTTTTTTTTTTTTTAAATCCACTGGTATGGTTTTTATGTGACGTGTCCCCTAAAAGCTCCTGTGTGAGAAGGCTTAGAGGTGAAATGTTTGGGTTGAGAGCCTTAACCCAATCAGTGAATTAATCCCCTGATGGCATTAACTGAGTGGTAACTAAAGGCAGGTAACTAAAGGCTGGAAGAGGTGGGTCATTGGGGGGTGTGCCTTTAGGGTATATATTTTGTATCTGGCTAGTAGAGCCTCTTTCTGCTTCCTGGTCATCATGTGAGTTACTCTTCTCCACAACACTCTTCCACCTTGATTTCTGCCTCACCTCAAGCTCTGAGGAATGGAGCAGCTGTCTGTGGACTGAGGCCTTAGAAACTGTGCGCCTGCAAGTAAACTTTTCCTCTAAGAGTTCTTATCAGGTCTTTTGGTCACAGCAGTAAAAAAGCTGACTGAAACAACCACTGACTCCATTTTAAAAAGATTATTTTTTCTTACTTCAGGTTTGAACATCAAAATTTTTCTAGCCTAACTCTTACAGTGATTACAAATAGTCAGTATGAAAATCACTTAGCATCAAAGAGAAATGCTTATGATGTAATGGTAAATTAACTATCATTTGTATATGCATATGTATGTATGCAGATATATACACATATGCAGACATTACACATATATATAAAATCATAATTAAAAATACAGATGGAGGAAAAGAATGGAATATACCAAAATGCTAAAGGTAATTATGTTTTATGTTGTAGAGTGATGAAGAATTATTTTTGTAATAGAATTACATCTAGTTCTATGATGAAAACATTAACTTTCCTCATTTTCAAAAAGCCTTCAATCTAGTTTTTTCCATCTCTTATTCCAGAATTATTTGAGCATCTACTGAGCAATGGGTGCTATACTAGGGCCAAATACACCCAGACTGAGATGTGTTCCCATTCCTCAAGAGCCTCAGCCTACCAGAGACAGATACATGAAACAACTGCCTACATACAGGGAAAAGAAATAAGGCAGCAATGAATTCTCTGGGATAGGGCAGGAAAGAACTTCAAGAGGTGAGAATGAAGTGGGGCTATGAAGCACGCATCTCCAAATCAACAGAATAAGTACGCTGTTCTACCCTTCCAGCTCACTCTCAGAACCAACCAAGTCCTTTGTGGCAACAACTAACTAATCCTTTGCTCTGTAACAGAACTAAAATACCTTATTCCTAACTTTCCCAGCCCCACAGATCCAGATTTCTAGATTAGAAAAAGAAATACTCAGAAGAACAATTGACACACAGTATTTCACAATTTGAGCTAACAAATTCCATGCACAATCTCTATGGATCCTCATTGTGAAGTAAATACTCTTTCTTATTAACCCCATTTTACAGATGGGGAAATTAACATTAAGAGATTAAGCAACTTACTTCAAGTCACAAAGAGTTAAAAAGAGGTGTCAAAACCAAGTACAACTAAACTGTGCAGTTTACCACTAAGGTCCTGGTTCTCAGGAGAAAACAGAAGAAACCTCATTTCATCTTCAAGTGAACTCTTATCAGCAGGGAGAAAAGACAACAACTTGGGCTGCTGTGTCTATTAAACCTGGTTTTGAGTCCCAGATCATCACTAACTGGAACTTCAGAAAGTTCCTCAGGCCCAGAATGCGTTTCATTTGAAAAATGAAAAATTAAAAATAATACGGAACATACCTGGGGATATTATAAGGCCTACCTAGGAAAATAAAAGCAGAGGACCATGAAAGGCCTCATCAAGCACAGAGGGCCATGGTTCAAACAGAAATGGGCCTTAATCAACTGATGTCTACTTTTAACCTTGCCCAAGCTCCCCATCAGATTTTGGGAAAAGATACATAAGCAGAAAAAGCAATACTGAAAAAGAAATGAGTTACCAGCAAAAAGACAGAACAAAAGAGGGGTTTTAGCAGGACCTGGATACCTGCAGATAGTGTAATGAATTCAGTGCTCTCAAAATCCAGATCATTCCCACCAAGTATGGTCTGAAATCTAGCAGGTTATCATTATCACTGGGAATTCGTTAGAAGTGCAGGCTCTCGGGTCCTGCTCCAGAACTTCTGAGTCAGAAACCACATTGGAACAAGTGCCCCAGCTGACAATTCTGGTTAGTAAATATTATATGTGATATCTTAGCAGCTGGTCTATTCTCATCATTGAGTAGCTTCAACTGTACAAGTTGTAGAAAAAAGTCAACAGCAAACTTTTAAAAAAATATTAATAAAGCTTAAAAATGCTCTAAGCTTAAACTAATGTCTGTATACCAAACAAGAAAATAACACTGCTATCAATTCAAAACTGTACACCAGTAATTCAATTTCTTAAAACAGATGTCTGTACAAACATTGGAGGGGCTGATACTCCCAAGAAGAAAAAACCCCTCAGTTCCCTTAGATGAAGGAGAGACTGTCTGATGCGCCACCAACCTCACAGGGTGTTATTGTTTAGATATTAGGTGTAGCCCCAAAAGCTCATATGTGAGATAATGCAAAAAGATTTAGAGGTGAAATGATTAGGTCATGAGAATCTAAAACCCAGTCAGTGAATCCATCCCCTGACAGGGATTAACTGGATGGTTGGTAACTGTAGGCCAGTGGAGTGTGACTGGAGGAGGTGGGTCATTCAGGGGCATACCTTTAGAGTACATATTTTGTCTGATGAACAGAGCTCTCTCTCTCTCTGCACTACCTGTCGTGATGTATTGAGCCACTTCCCTCCACCACACTCTTCCGCTATGATTTTCTGCCTCACCTTGGGCCCAGAGTAATGGAGCTGGTCATCAACCAACCATGAACCCCTAAATAAACTTTTCCTCCTCCAAAATTGTTCTTGTCAGGTCTTTTATTTATAGCAGCAAAATAGCTGATTAAAACACAGGATTATATCCAATAGCATATGGATTTAAGCACCTTAAACTGGAAACCTATATACAAGGATGAGACTATTCTTCTTGAAATCAAATCACCTTAAGATCATACTATCAGCAACATGGAAGTAAAGGAGGCAAAGTGATCTTCTGTGAAAAGTAGAATAACAGCATGAAAGATTAGCCTGTTAGCCTCTGGAGTTACTATGAACATCAGCAGTTGGCCCACAACTCAGATATGTGCAGGCAAAAGAAATTAACCCAGGAAGGGGGGAAAAACCAATGGATATTATGTAAAGAAAACAGCAAATGCAGCTCTCAGTGAGTTCTGCTCACCATGCAGTAAGCAGTGCATCACACTCACCCAGCAGGGCAGCTACTATGCCCACCAGCCCTGTGCCAGCACCCAGCTCCACGGCAGAGCAGTCCCTGAGCTCCACAGCACCCATCTCCAGAAACGTGGAAAGGACAACAGCCTGAGTCAAAACACAGTGCGAGTATGATTAAGGTCAACAAGTGCTTCAGGAGCTGTGGGTTCAGGATGCCTATGTGCTACTGGCAGGAGGAGATTGCATGTGCACCCCTCTCCCCAGCCCCACACTGCCCAATCCACTAATGTGCACAGGAAATTAGCCACTGCTGCTATGAGGTCACCTCCTACAGAGGCACACACACAGCAGAACCAGCACCCCAACAGGGGGCTGCACAGCTAGCTAGGAGCATGCTGAATCTGTGAAGCTTAAATTTTTTATTGTCACAGCATTTTCACACTGAGACTTAGAAAACCGTTCTAAAGAACTGACATGAACAGTCTTATATAAGGCATGCCCAATTCCTAAGCCAAGCCAGGTCAGCAAGGCCACACTTCACCTAGAAGGAAAAAGCAGCACAGTGCCCAAGGCTCCCTGAACTGCATCCCTGACTCTCATCACCCCACAGGGGCCCTCACCACATGTTTTGGGCATCAGAAGGTAAGTTTTGGCCAGTTTGGGAACTTGTGTTAGCATTTACTTATAATCCTATAGAAAAAATGGTATAGTGTTAACATAAATTTTTACTAAAGTTTGTTTTTCATAGCCATATACTAGGAGTATAATTGGCAATTCCTCTCCTCAGTCAGCTTATAGGAGGCATCCTATTTCTTATTATTATTTATCATTGGTACTAATTATGGGAATAGTTTCACACAGTTATTCAGAAGTGGATTCCCAGAAGTGGTATTACCAGGTCAGATTAATATTATTATTTCTTAATGTTTCTTTAACAGCCCTAATACAATGTTAAGACTGTAGAACGGTATTTAGGCCAATCAGTTATTCAACAGGAATAACTAGGGGGCTACACACACACACTAGGGAGCTGAGTCACAAGCCACCATTCTCAAGCAAAGAGAACAGTGTTTAAAGAGGAAGAAGTAGAAAAGCAATTATTATTTACAGCTATGGAAAACTTAAAGATGAAACATGATGTTCATTTTGGGCTTTGTCACCTTATGTATTCTTTGGTGCAGTGTTTTAGAAAGAGAACTCAGTGAGCGTCCAAAGCAGTCAGGACTTCAGTCTTCTGTTACTCACTGGGTAATTACTGGCAAGCCATTTCACTCCCCTCTGTTTTCAGTTAACCGCCATTAAAATGCAGTGTAATTGGGGGGGGGGGGGGGGGAGATAAAGGGAATGACTGGTAAGGGGAAGGGGCTTTGGGGTGATGAAAATGTTTTAAAATTAAAGTGGTAATGGCTGCACTACTCTGAATATACTAAAAAAAAAAATTGAATTTGTGTAGTGAAGTGCATGAAGTGCATGGTACCTGAATTGTATCTCAATAATGGTATTTTTCTTTTCAAATAACTGAGGGTGTTTTCAGAGACCCTCTGGGGCTTGCTTACCGCATCCCAAACAACTGCTGCGACTCCAAGCTGCCTCCAGTCCTGCCGGATTTGGATCGTGTGGTTTGCAAAGGAGAAAGTGGCAAGAGGCTGGTGGAATTTCTGGAGCCCCATTCCCCTGGTCTCCTCATAGGGCACCAGGGCCATTTTGTCTAACCACGCTTCTGCTGAGACCTGTCGTGCAAAAGTATCCTGTGTGACACTCTGGCCAGAAATTGCATTATCTTTTAAGTAACTCCAAATGATTGTTAAGTTTGTTTATAACTTCAAAAGAAGAAGAAATGAGCTGAAGCCCGTCTAATTCCTTTAGCATGGCTCTTCCTTTCAGTCCTACGGGAGGTAAGATGTGGCTCTGAAATCGTGCCAATGGATATCTTTGAGCAAAAAGTCCTTGAGTATTCCGACACCCATAGGATGCCCTACAGTTCCACTGTTACCATTGCGCATATTCGGAGCTGCATAACAGTGCACCAAGCATTGGTGACTGCTCAGGGACCCCAAACTGCCTGCACGGCACTCCACTGCAGCTGCAACCAGCCTCGGGTTTGTGGCTTTTTTGGCTGGGGGGAGGGGGGCGGGTGTTATTATTTTGGTCCTCCGGTCTAAACCGCTAGGTTCAATAGCGATAATAATGGAACTGAGTGTTAACGATTTGAACAACAGTCGGATTTATGCGGTGGACACTGTACCATCTTCTAGAGACTGGAAGGCAACCACACTAGCGGGTTCCGAGTCGCTTGCCAGCAGAGCGCGGCTGTGGGGTGGCTCGGAGGCCTCCACTAAGTCCCTTACCTAAACCTGTCCCCGCCCGCCCCCAAAAGGACCGACAGGTGCCCCTTCCGGCCCGTGGGCCGAGAGCTCCGGGAATACGTCAGGGGTGGGAATGGGAGACGAGGGGTGCTCCACAGGGCGCTCTGGGATCCCCCGGCCGCGCGGGGAGCCGGCTGCACCCTGGGGCTCTGGGAGCTTCCGGGTAGAGGCCACAGAAGTCTGAGGCCGCCCCGCAGCGGGGCTCACAGGACACCCAGCCCCGGGGGCGCAGCCACGCGGGTACTTACTATCTGGAGGGTGCCCGGCGCCGCATGCGCGCTACGTTTTCCCCGCCGGGGATGGCTGCGGAGAGGACTGGCCTTAAAAAGCCCTAGAGTCGGGAGGCGGTCGGAGGCGGGTCCCCGGCCTCCAGACACGCGTTTCCGGCGCTCCTCACCCCCTCCCTTCCCTAGGCAGGTGCTACCACCCCGCTGCGCTGGGAGCCTGGGGGCGGGGCGTGGAGGAGGAGCTGCGGGGCTGGGGCCGATGTCCCGGCTTCCTCGCTTAAGTCCCTTTAAGTATTTGGGTGCCATAATTTAGTTAGCCCAGGAGATCGGGGGTAACTTGGTAGAGAGAAGCAGGAGTGGGGGAGGGAGGGGAAGGAAAAGGGTGGGTGCAAAAAAAGGGAGGAAGAGGGGCGGGGGAGAATAGGGATGAGGGGGAAAGGAGAGAAGACGAGATGCTGAGCAGTTGGAGGGTGCTCCGAGAGCCTGAGTGATCTGGTGACAGCGAGAGGGAAGCCTTGCTCCGGATATGCTCTTACGCTGATTCTCGCTTGTTCGTTTGGCTCTTTTGGTTTTTATTTTTAAAGGTGTTCAGTTTAGCGGTGAAAGAGAAAGTTGAAGAAGGCGTCCCGCGTCTCCTAAGTGGGGTCCAAAGAGGCGTAACCGCCCATTGGGTGGCAATGAGTGGAAAAGTCTCAAAACACTTTTTAAAATATTTTTGTTTTTATTAGCACGGTGTAGCTATACATATAACAGTGGGGTTCATTTTTGACACTCAGAGGTGCATATAATTTGCTTCATTTCAATCCCCAGTACTTTCCTTTTCCCACCCCTCCTCCCTCCACGTGATCCCCTTTCTCTGCTGGTCTTGCCAAGCCCTTCTTAACTAAAGCGCTAACAAGGAGTGGGCACGTGCCACCCAGGTCTGTATTTTAAAATGGGTCGGGTGGGCGCGGCAGCGGAGACCCTAGACCCTGATCCAGGCAGTTGGTGCAAATTGTGATCCCTGGCCTTCCTCCTCCGGGAAATCCGGCGGCACCCAGTCCACAGGCCTCGGGAGAGAGCCGGATCGAAGTGAGCACATGCGAGTGTGACCGCGCGGGGACCAGCATCCTCTTAAAGATTTAATTTTTTTCCCCCGGACCCACCCTACCCGGCCAACTCTTTCCCGGTGGTTCTTAGCCAGGGCTACACGTTAGAATGAACTGAAGCAAACTCCCGCAACCCCGACCCCGCCACCTGAATGCCACTTGGTATTTCTAAAAGCTCTCGCAGGAACCCCGGCTTACGGTGGGTGCTAGCCTCGGGCGTGGCCTGAGCCGCTCGGGGTCCTCACTTCTCCCAGCCGGCAGGGGGCGTCCCGGCCTCTTCAGATTCCCAAGGTGACTTGAGTGAACTTTGAAGACCACCAGTGAAAGCCTCTCCCCTCTTTGTTTCTTTTGTGGACTTCTCACACTCTCCGTTTTTCTTTTAGTATATCCTCTCTTACGCCCTCTACGACTTTTGATTGCTTCTGCCTCTCGATTTTTTTCTTTTACTTTTTTTAAAACCTCCCTTTCCACAAAGAGAGGGAAATGCTAATTACCCTGATATATCAGTGTACACTATGTGCATGTGTTGAAATACCACACTATTCTCCATTATTATGTACAATTATTACATGTTAATCGAAAAAACAAAGAAAAATCCATTTCTTCCCCTCTTTTTCTCTTATCTCTTTAGAGAGCAAGCACTAAAGGAATGAAAAAGTATGGACTTTGGGGCCAGAGAAATCTTGAAAATTTAAATTCTGCCTCTGACACTTTAAATGGGATGGCCTTGAGTAATTACTAAATGCTAGGTCTCAGGTTCCTCATTCTAGCTAAAGCCTGGCACAGAGGGTTTGCCCCCTTTGCCATTCCTTCTCCCTGTTCTCCATCTTTTCTACTCAAGTCATATATGTGACTTTAAATCACCTTCCCCACCTCTTCAGCACTCTACTAACATAGGGTATTTGCCTCACTACATTTACCTACAATTTGTCTACAAAGATGTTGTTCACTTTTTCTCAAAGGCAATAGACAAGAAAGTCATTTAGCCCTTCCCAATGTTGTAATTGGTACCAACTGGCTCAGGAAGTTGTGCATACACACAATTGAGAACATATGCAACTTGTACAGCAGTGTAGACATTAAACAGAGCTCTGTTTCTATCTAAACAAACCAAAACAACCAGTGGCTCCTTGTGAATATTTGAAAATAACATTTTAATCCTTTAAAAAAAAATGGTGTGTGGTAGATTACATACTACTTACAATACTCAGCCTTTCACAGGCCAGTCCCTTCTGGAGGGCAGAATGTCTCTCCACCTTATTGAGGTCAAGCCTGGCCATATGACTTGCTCTGGCCAACAAAATGGGAGTGGCATTTGCCACCCATAAGCAGGAGCAGTGGGTACCTCTTATGCTGTGCTGTTGCTGTTCTGATGGTGTTTCAGGACTACAGGTCTCAAGTTAGGAAGCCCTTTGCACCAGGGTCCCCAGTTGGAGCAAGACTAGAAACATGAGAGATAAACATCTTTTGTAATGACTGAAATTTGGATGTTGTTACAGTATTACTTAGAAGCTATCAGAACACAGGTATGAACAAGCCATGACATTCAAAAATTAGGTAGAATTTTTTTAGTATGGATGTTTGGCTATTCAGCAAAGTAGGTACTTTTATCTTTGGAGGTCTGCCTTGCTCATAAAGACTTCCTTCATTGCCCTCCATCTAACTCCCCACCTGCCTCCCCCATCAGTATGTACAGAAAGGTAGATTTACTTTTTCACATTATCTGTGAGTGACTCCAAAATTCAGCTTAATCATAATAACAGGTTAGAATTATGCCTTTTCTTTAGAAAAAGCAGAGCTGGGCTCCTTTCTCTGGCCCTCTCTTGGACCTTTACAGCCAAAAAGGAGCCAAGCTTGGGCATGCCCTCCAGCTCTGTGGATTCCCTGTGCACCTTCAGATTGCTGAAGTCTTTCACAATCACTCCATCCCTGTGGGGAGCAGAATTTAGGATGGGCTAGAATATAAATAACCCCAGAGACCTTTGGTGACAGTAAAGGAGTTTGGAAATGTCACAGGAATTGTGAAGCCTTGGAATGGTGATTACTTCCTACTGAGGGTGGGGGTGGGGTAGGGTGGGGTGGGGTGGCAGGGATGATCAGTAGATGCTAACCAGGCTTTCTTTGAACCTCCCTCATCTCTTTGGTTCTTCCAGAGATCCTCCAAAAAGGAAACCAATTGACATGGATCCTCTCCCCTGGGAGAGTCATCAACCAGGAAAGATCACATCACAGGAAAAGAGACCCCCCTGGGTCATTACCTTGTCCAGATGGGCTGCCACTATGGGCTAGCACCTATTCTTCTGACAAGTCCTCCTTGAGGCAACCTTCATTAACTGAGAAATGTTAGGTACACACCAAGACAACTTTTACACGCTGTACGTTTCTTCCCCTCTCTCTCCTATAGCTTGTCATCACTACCGCCCCCAATAAGCCTCTTGCCCCTATTGCTTTCAGTAGTCCAGGATGCTATATAAGCTACCAGATCTCACTGGGCTTGGGAGATATTCACTTTTCTTTCATATGAATCCCCCATGTGTGTGACAAATTCGTATGCTTTCTCTCCTGTTAATCTGTCTACTCAGCTTGTTTCATAGACACAATTATAAGTTCCCTCCCCCATACACCTTTTTTATTTGCATGACTAAAATTTCCTACTCAGATGACACCTCACTAGACAATAACAATAGAAGGACACTTGTTCTTTCCTCCCTTCTATTTTCTGAAACTAGTCCATGTTCAAGGTCACAGTAGAAGCAAACACCTTGGTACAACTTGATCCCTCCATCCTCTCCTGGACCCCACCAGGGTGGTTATCCAACCCTGGGCTGGGTAAATGCTTCTCTGTGGAACAAGAATCCAGAGTGACTGTTGGACATCTGTTGTTTTTACCTGCCCAGCATCTATCTCCCAATTTCCTGGCAGAAGTTCCCTTCTGCTAATGTTTAGGACCCCAGTTTCTGGTGTCCAAGTTCTGGGTCAACTTCTAGCTCTGCAATTTACAAATGCTTCATGACTTACAAAGTGATTACATGCTGATAAACCCATCACAAATTGAAAACACATTGAATACACCTAACCTAATAAGTATCATAGTTTAGCAACACAGAACACTACAGAGTAAGTTGTTTCCTCTCATGATCAAGTGGCTGGCTAGAGGCTGCAGCTTGATGCCCTGACCAGCATCCTGAGGGAGGATCATACTGTGCATATCATCACTAGCACGGAAAAAGATACAAATTCAAACTTCAAAATACAGTTTCCTCTGAGTGCATGTTGTGTTTGCACATTGTAAGTTGGAGACTGGTTATCTGTGAGGGTTTGTATCTCAGTTTCTCTGTGTATCAAATAAGGATAACATCATGATTAAATTAGTTAACAAAAAATAATAATAACCTGAGGTTAAAATGAGTTGCCTACTTAGAACTGATCCAAAACATGGTAAACTCTATAAAAATGTGCTGTTACTGTTTTATATTTGGAGTAGGTTAACCTCAACTCAAGCTCCATAACAGGCACATGTCTCAGGCCTGGCCAAATAAGCACATTCCTCCCTTTGGGCTATAAGTGATTTAGAAGTAAACATGTGACCAACACTAAGCTTGACCAGAGCCCAGCTTTGTTGGGAAAGGAGAGAAACCTGGAGGTCCTATTGGTCTTTTGTCCCAAGAGGACACTACCAGCAGGGAATGTAGACAATGTGGCCCTAGTGAAGGGAAAGGCTGCTTCTGATGGTGCCCTTTGACCACCTGGATCCAGCTGTCCTAGAATTTTCTGTTATATGAGCTGTTAAATTCCCTAATTAGCTTAAGCCCTTTGAGCTACTATTTTTTTTTTCTGGTCCCCTGTAGAAGAAAAACAATCTTAATACATTCAATCTGGCTGGTCCCTTAACAAGGAAAATATAAAGTCAAGCCTGTGCAGGACTGTCCTCAGACTGCTGTGTAAATGGAGAAGCCAGCCTGCAGAAACCTGAGGCAGAGAAGATTCTGCAGAAGCTTTGGTCAGAGCTGACAGACTTCCCGATGACCCTCTGGGTCCTGAGCCCT